CACAACATCGATTGCACCACATCGACTGCACGACATATATTGCACCACATTGATTGCACAACATGTAACATGTGCTGCTCAACATTGCTTGCACAACATAGATAAAATATCGTTTTCACCACATCGATTGCACAGCGCAGATGTCCCCACGTATAGCGCACAACATATATTGATGTTCCTTTCTAAGAAAGTAGTAGGGTATCCCCCCCTGGAATTCACGGGACCCCTTTTCGTATGTCAATTGTCATACGATTATGCCCCAACGTCCATCTTAAATTTGAACTCATACCATCTCAGGCATGCCGATATCGCCCCCCCTCCCTCCTCTGCAACATGCACTATCCGCGCGCACCCGCTTATCACATATTACCCGTTTTCAACAACCCCTTGGCAAGCAATGGGACTAAGTGCACACGCACGCGTCGTCGCGCGCGCATGCCAGAATCTGTCAAACAACTTGTAATTGTCGCAAGGATGTCAAAGTCGAGCGTCCCGAAAACATAGTAAAGCACACATGGTTCCGCAACACGAATTTTAATACAAAACCTGCGCTCGCGCTCTTGCATATTCTTAAGGAAACCAAGCGCTCCTCAACACTTTCATCGAATGCTAGCAAACGTGCCTCTCGCGCGCGCATGTCGAACTCGCTCGAGCGCTCTTGCGCGCGTGCTGTTGCGAGAACCCCTTGCAACAAAGGGGGCGAAATGCGCGCGCGTGTCTTCGCGGGCACATGCGGGAACCTTTCAAAACCCTTAGACTTCGCAGGGGTTTCGCATCGAGCGTCCCTGCGCTCGTACTCTTGCGAATTATTAAGAAAAGCGTACGCTTTTCCAACATCTTCATTGAAGTCGGCCAAGCGAGCATTTCGCGACGCATGCCGAAATCATTCGACCGCCCTTGCGCGCGTGCGGGGGGGGGGCAATAACATGCGGTCCACTCTCGCGCGTCGGCCGCGCGCACATGCCGAATTCCTTCCAACACTTTCGTCACCGACGCGAGGACGCCGTCAGCGTCGTCGGCGTGATCAGGATCGGCGCCGTCACTGGCCTTACCGTCGTCGTTGTCATTATCGTCGCTAGTATCGCTACTACCATCATCGTGCCTACCGTTGTCGACGTTGCCATGACACCCCGCCCACCCAAGTCGCCAACTCGCACTGAAGTGCCCGCTGGGAAGTGCCCAGCGGTCAGCGCCACCGCGGCCGCGTCGGTCGCGCCAAACTAGCTGGCCGCTTCGCGCGCGAGCATGCAAGGGCTATTGCGGCCGCGGCGATGCACAAGCCACCGCCGAGCTCTCATCGCAATCGCCGCCGCATGGCTTTGCAAGCCAAGTTGCGGGTGGGTGGGCGGGGCGGTTGCGCGAGCAGTGGAACTGACAACACACTGCGAACAGAAATTACACTAATTGCACCACATAGATTGCACAACGTTTACTGCATACCAACGCTCGCACAACATATATTGCACAACAGCAATTGCATCACATTGGTTGCATCGCATAGATCGTTCTGGTTGTACCACATAGATTGCACCACGTAGAGTGCACAACATAGGTTGCAGAACATCGTTCTCTTTACCAGAAAAGGACATCAGATCTACCATCCCTCCCCGCCGCCAACCCCCGCCGGACTCATCGCACCCCTCTGGGGACGTGCAAATTGCAAATGATTGTTCTTCAACGCTTACTCAAAATATGAGTTCGTATCATCCTAGCCTCGCCACGACCGGCCCCCCCACCTTTTTCCCAGATGTTACGCGAGCGCGCGTTTTTCACATGTCATGAATGTCCAAGAATCCCTTGGGAGGAAAACCGGACAAACTCCATGCGCCCGCGTCGTCGCGCGCGTGCCCAAACCAGTCAATGTTATTTGGTGTCGCGGGTCGCTCTTAATCGAGTGCCCCGAACGCAATTAACATAATGAAACAACACGGTTGTTGCGCAGCATGCTGCGTCAAGAAGTCTGCGCGGTGTTGCAAATTCTGGAAAGAACAGTGGATTTCCAAGATCGAGCAAGCGGGACTGTCGCGCGCTCATGTCGAAATCATTCGGACGCCCTTGCGCGCGCGCTGGAGGGGCGCGGGGCGCTCGGACGCGTCGGCCGCACCCGCATGCCGAAATCCGACCAAAACCCGGCGCGGGGTCACCATTATCGTCGCCGGCGTGATCAGCATTGGCGCCGTCATTGGCCTTGCCGTCGCCATCGTCATCGTCGTCGCCGGCGTCGCTACAAACATCATCGCCTCTGCCGTTGTCGACGCCGGCATGATGGCGCGCCCGCCCGAGTCACCGTCGGCGCACCGGAACCCGACACCAACACCAGAATCCCATTGGAAAAGAAAAAAGCATAGCTTCCGTTGACTGCCGTCGCCCGTGTCTTCGGGCTCGCGTGTCCCGCGTAGATGAATGCCAGCTCTGATCGCGTGGGAACAAGGCGGGCCGTGTCTATTTCCCCAGGCGGGCGTTCGGATTTCCATGGGCCGCGCGACGCCCGTGGGCCGTGCGAACCTAGCCGGCCCGATGAACCCCATAAGTCCCACAAAGGTTTATTGGGTCGCACGTGCGCCGCAGCGCGCATGGGCCCAAGGCGCCGCGCTGGCCTAGCGAGCCGCGCGGGCCCCATGGGCTCCTTGACTCGTCAGGGCCACATCGGGTTTCTGGGCCTTGCGAATCCCGTGGACCATGGAAGCCCCAGGGGCGCCAGGGGCGCCATGGGCCCCATGGGACGCTTTTCTATCATGCAAGCTCCATGGCCTGCAAATTCGGAGAGCAACGCGAGCCATCTCAAGCTTTCCAAGCTCCTTTGGGTCGCTTAGCCCCCGCAGGGGAAGCGCTCTCAACTTTTCCAATGGCGTGTTGGTGCTGCTTCCGGCTTTTCGCTCGTTCCCTTCAACATCAACAAGCTGACACCAGCACCAAGGCCCCTCCTGGAACGGCGGCCCCATGGGCGAGCTGAACCCCTCGACGATTTCGGAAGTTTGCCGGGGGCTGCGGGCCCGGGTCACGAGGGAGCCACGATCTTTGGCCCCAGACGCGCAGGGCGGCCGCCGCCGCCTTTCGCGGGGAGTAGGCGGTTCGGAATCGTCGGGCGCTGGCTTCGGGCAAATCGAGGGTCAGGGATGCGACGCGGGCGGACAGAGGCCGGGCGAGGGGAGGGGGGGTGGCATATGAGCGGGACGAGCGGCGGTGGGGGGAGTTAGGCTTCGGTCACGGAGGATGCCGCATTCTTCCCTCTTTGTATCCCTCCTGTCCCGAGAGCGCCCGCCAGTTTCGTTTCTCGCTTGCACTTTTTGTTTCCTGCTCTCCCTCCTACCTGTTGCGCGACGTCTCCCTTCCCTCGCCCTCCCCGGCCGCTCTGCATTTCCTCGGGCCAGAGCGGGGTCGCGCTGGCCCACAACGCAATTCAAATTTCGCGGGACAAATACTTTCTTGGTGCTGGTGTTGGCTGTTTGTTCTCCCATGACATGCCCGCGCCCCAGCGCGGCCTGCGAGACGCGTTGGGAACTCCCTAGCGGTCAGCGCCACCGCGTCCGCGTCGGCCGTGCCAGACTAGCTGGCCGCTTCGCGCGCGAGGTGGCGCGCTAGCGCGGCCGCAGCGATGCGCCAGCCAGCGCCAAGCATTCATCGCAATCGTCGCCGCAGGTGTTTCGCAAACCGAGTCGCGGGCGGGTGGGTTGGAGGATTGCGCGAGCAGTGGAGTTGGCGACTTCATGTTCGGCAGGGTGAATTGCGCCGCGTAGATCATTTTTGGGGGAAAGGAATGCGGATCGCCCCCCCCCCTCCCCCCCCTTGGATTATCGACCCCCCGCGGCGACGTGCAATGCCCCATCTCGTTCGTTCACCACCCCAGCAAAACCACTTCCGATCCAACCCCCCTCATCCTCTGCAGCAAATCTTACGCGCGCGCGTTCGCATATAAAAAGTCATCCGCGTCCGAGAATTCCTGGCGCAAATGGCGCGACGCCAGTCGCGCGACGCGGGCTTGGGACTGGAGAGGCGCCCCTCTCCAGGGCGGCCCGCGCGGGGGCGCGAAGAGGACCGCGCACCGCAGAGGGCGCCAGGCGCGAGGCGAGGCGACCTGGGAGCAGTCTTGCGTCGGGCACGTCCCTCTGCAGGAGGAAGATTCGGGAACTTTGCTGCCTCGATACGCCCGCTTTGAAACGCAGTACGTACCGTGCTGAAAACGTACGTGTCAAAACGCTGCGTGTTAGCTCAACTTGTTGGCCCACGTTTTGGCGAACGTATCGCGTCAGACCTACATGTCTAGTCTACGTGTTGAGCTCCGTATCAATACGCTACGTGTTGCGTGTTGCGTATTGGGGCAGCTAAGCCTGGGAGCAGTCTTGCGTCGGTCACGTCCGTCTGCAGGAGGAAGATTCGGGAAGAGAAAAAAATCGGCAGGGGACGATTTGTCGTGCCCTTGTGGTTACTTCAGGACCTGCTTCGTGCCTCTTTCGTGCCCTCGATGACTTTTTGGGCGACTTGTCGTGCCTGTTTCGTGCCCCCAAGGATCCGCCTGCAGGAGGACATGCCCGGCCGAAGGTCAGTCAGACAGGCAGCCAGACAGCCAGTGCCGGCCAGTCCAGTCAGACTCCCGTGGGTGCGGAATTTCACCCGGCGCCGTTGGGAGAAGCATCGTGTTGGGCGTTCGGTAATGGGGGGCGATCAATTGGGGGGCGTCGAGGTGGGCCCTGAAGGGGCCCTAAACAAGCCCCCTAGGGCCCCGAAGGGGTACGAAAGGTGCACGAAAGGTGCACCTTTCTTTACCCCCCCATCTATCGCCCCCCCATTGGTGAACGCCCGAATCGTGGTCTGGACGATGTGGGCTTTTTGGACACGGGCATCCTGGGGAGGCTTCGTGCCCACTTGGAGCCAGATCGGGGCCTCTTCGAAGCCTGATTCGTGGATGCCATCTGGAGCTGACCAGGAGCATCTTGCGGCGTCGCGGAGGCACCGCCGCCACCACCCGCTCGAGTTACCTCATCTCCCGGCCCTCGCCGGTGCCAGGCCATGCGCCACACCTGGATCGCGCACAAGGCCCCGAGGGCGCCGGCAGCGGCCCTGGAGGAGGGCCTCGTGGAGCGGCTGCGCGCCTTCCGGCTGCGCAACAAGTTCGTGAAGGCGTCCTCTCGGGAGAGGGGTGGCAGAAGGTGGAGGAGGAGCAGGAGGAGGAGGAGGAGGAGGAGGAGGAGGAGGAGGAGGAGGAGGAGGAGGAGGAGGTGGGTGGTGGTGGTGGTGGTGGTGGTGGTGGTGGTGGTGGTGGTGGTGGTGGTGGTGGTGGTGGTGGTGGTGGTGGTGGTGGTGGTGGTGGTGGTGGTGGTGGTGGTGGTGGTGGTGGTGGTGGTGGTGGTGGTGGTGGTGGTGGTGGTGGTGGCCATTGTATGAGGGATGCAAGTCCCGAGCAGAGCAACACGCACCACGACCACGACGACGCCGACAACGACGACGAAGAAGACGAGGCGCGCTGACGCCCTGCAGGTTCGGTTAAACAGCACATCGTGTAGCGGTGTTGCAGCCTCCTCTGGGCACAGGCCCCCCAGAGCATCAGCCAGACAAGCCGGTTTTGCACCCTCATGACTTGCTGGACTCTGGGCGCGGCTCGGCACTGCCACTGCCGCCGCCACCTTCTCGTCAGGGCCACCGACTCGGGTGACGGCGACAGCGACAGTGGCGGTGGCCGACACGACCCTGAGCTGAAAAGGTCTGAGCACCGCGGCATAGAGAGCTGGGACAACAGACAGACGGACGGACGGACAGCCAGGCGGCGTGCGTGCAATGCCTGGCACGCCAAGTGGGTGGTCACTGCATAAGGGGTGCAAGTCCCGATCAGAGCAACACGCACCACGACCACGACGACGCCGACAACGACGACGAAGAAGACGAGGCGCGCTGACGATCCGCCTCGAAGCACGGATCTGGGAAAAGGCCCACCCTGCAGGTTCGGTTAAACAGCACATCGTGTAGCGGTGTTGCAGCCTCCTCTGGGCACAGGCCCCCCAGAGTATCAGCCAGACAAGTCGGTTTTGCACCCTCATGCCTTGCTGGACTCTGGGCGCGGCTCGGCACTGCCATTGCCGCCGCCATCTTCTCGTCAGGGCCACCGACTCGGGTGACGGCGACAGCGACAGTGGCGGTGGCCGGAGGAGGAGAAGGAGGAGGAGGAGGAGGAGGAGGAGGAGCAGCAGCAACACAGATATCCAACAATCTAGGCTTTCTCTTCGGTTCACACGGACAAGGGATCGAGGAGGTTGAGGGGGGGAGTCGGCGGCTTCGTGAACGTGAGATTTGGCACCGATGAACCCTCTCATGGCCCTCGTGCGAGTTTGCGCACGCCCTGCAGGGCTGCACGGGGCAAGCATGCATCAGCACGTGTGCTTTGGGTCATCGGGGGGGTGGCCGAAGGGAGAAGTGGAGGCCCCAAGAGATTTGGAAGACAGCCCAAGGGAAACCAAGAGGGCCCCAAGATGGCCCCATGAGGTTCCCAAGACGGCCCCAAAGGGGCCCCGACATACCCCCGATGGCTTTCCCATCATTCAAGACGTCTCCAAAATAAGCTGAGGTAGCCGTGAAGTTCTTCCGGACTGCCCCCAAGAAAGCATAATCGTATGTATGGGGACCAGTGGCCCCAGCCTCAGGCCTTCGACATGTTCCCAGATACCCCCTCCCCTTGGCCACCGCAAGTGTTTACACCCTCTGTGGCATTCCCTGGGCGTTGCCAGAGGGCTCCAAGAGGCCGCAAGAGCCGTCGGGACTTGCCCCAGGCGTTCCCACAGGGCTCTAAGAGGCCGCAAGAGAGCCGAAGTGCCCGAACCCAGGAGGATCCAAGAGGCTTCAGGACGGCGCCAAGCTGGCCCCGAGAGGACACAAGAGGGTCCTCGAAGGATCTCCGAACGGCCGGCATCATTCACAAACAATGGGTGTCGTCTCGTGTTCTGACATTCAGTGGCTCCCCTTTTTTGTCAGTGCCATGATTGCTCGAGTGGAGCCCTTGAGCGGCAAGAATCGGCGGCAAGCGAGGGGCGAAATGAGAAGGATAATGCCTTCTCATAAGGTCTGGAAATCCCCTGGCCTTCTGAAAAGTGTTCGAATCCTTCCCGAAGACAGAAAACAACTTCTTAGAAGGCGCGAGGGCTTCTGAGCAGTCCCGCCGCCTTCTGAGAAGGCCTTCTCCTTCTCAATTCCCCCCCTCGCTCGCCGCCGATTTCTTTTCAGTGCCATGACTGCTCGAGTGGAGCCCCCGAACGGCCAGAAGCGCCCCAGAGGGCCCCCGCACAACCCCAAAAGAGGAGCCCCAGCGGGAGGGCCGATGAGGGCCTCCAGAGGAGCCCAAGGCGGCCCAAGAGCGCGCCAAGAGCGCCCCGAGATGTTTCAAGACGGCCACAGGGCGGCCCCAGGAAAACCCAGGAGAGCTGTAATGCCGGCGGCCAGCGAGAGGGGGAAGTGAGAAGGAGAATGCCGTCTCAAACGGTCTGGGAGTCCCCCGGCCTTCTGAAAGGTTTTCTGAGCCTTCCCCGAAGACAGAGGTAACTTCTCAGAAGGCGCGAGGGCTTCTGAGCAGTCCCGCCGCCTTCTGAGAAGGCCTCCGGAGGAACACGCGAGCGGCCCAAGAGCGCACCAATAGCGCCCCGAGATGTCTCAAGACGGCCACAGGGCGGCCGCAGCAGAACCCAGGTGAGCTGAAGTCGAAGAAGAAAAAACGCCATCAACATACAGTGGGGGGCCATGCCAAGAAACACCCTGCGTGCCTCCAGGGTCCCCAGGGTTTCTTGGGTTTCGAAGGTTTTACTGTGGAAGGCGTGACGTTCCCACACCAAAAATCAATGGACGCCCTGGGGTCTCAGGGTTGGGTTCCTTGTGGATGTTTTCTTGTGGTCGGGCCTCCACTGTAAACTTTTGGGCGCTCCGCGCGGATCTCCTGGATCTGCGCCTGCACCCCCCTGGCGGCGCCTCCAGCGTCATCCCTGTCGCGCGGAGCGCCAAAATCTTTGTGTTTATGCTGTTCTTTCTTCTTCTATTTGAGGTGGCCCCGAGAGGCTGCAAGAGAGTCCAAGTAAAGGCCCCGCGAATGCCCACATGGCCTCGGAGCAGCCCCAAGGAGGACGGGCAGGGTTGGGGAAAATAATCGTTCTTCGATGATTCTGCTGTGCGCCGAGAGGAACACGTCCACCGTGCTGGCACTCGTTATTTGTTCTGTTTGCGCGCTGAGCACGTCCACCGTGCTGACAACAAACATGTTATGTTTACTTTGCGCGCCGAGTGGAACACGTCGATCACGCCAGTAGCAGTTCTTCTGCCGCTTGGACTGTGCTCACCGTGCCACACCAAGGGGGGAAAGGGGGGGAAGTGAGAGGGAACGGGAGAGCTTGCTGAGAGGAGATTGCCGGTTCATCGCATGGCATCCGTGGGGACACAGATGCCTTCAGTTTTTACCTGGGCCCATTTTTCAAACGCGCCTTCAGCTCATTGCTCGAAGCCTCGGTGGTCATGATACGGTGGGGGCGTTGGTCAGGGAATGTGCCCAGGAGGTTTTAGACCCTGGAGGATTCCTTGTCTGATGAGAGCGGCGGTGATATCCATGGCCAAGCCTCAACTGGCGTTCCGCCAGCTTCCAGACCCTGGAATCCCCATCTAATGGCTCCTTATCCGATGCCCTCGCTTTACAGAATCTTCGCCCCGAAGCTGCAAACCCAAGGCCATGGCCACATCTTGCCAGCACCCTGGGGAGAGGAGCGCGCGCGTGCGGCACCGCGAAAGGAGGGCCTGCCCACAGCCCGCGTCCCCCCCCCCCCCCTCGACGGCGCCGCGCAGGCCGCCCTGCACGCCATCGCGGCCCAGATGGACGGGATCCAAATCCGCGGCCCGCCCCCCGCCCGGGACGCGGAATAGGAGGGCGGGGGGGAGGTGAGAGCACAAGGTCTTCTGCTTCTGCTGCGGCCGCTCCTCATCTATCCCTCCGCCTTACTTTTAAGTCGGGCCTGTCCCTCTACAGGGGGAATATTCAGAAATGGTCAAAAAAATATGGGGACGATGTGTTGGGGTATTTTTGTTGACCATGTTCGAATATTTTTGGAGCATTCTTTACATTCGTCCAAAATCCGCCTGTAGGGGGACAGGCCCGACCTAACCCTACTTTTGTTTACGCTCCTTGTCGCACTCCGGGACGTGTGGGCAGGACGGGCTGGGCGTTTCGCCCGAGATCTCTTCGCCGTTTATGGCACTGAAGCTGAGATTTGGGCGGGCCGTCTTCAAGGTGTGGCTCTCGCCTGAGCGCCGCGCGCCTTCGTCTTACCAGCTCGCAGCGGCAGGGATTCCTGCGGCAGCTGTCCCAGACATGGTGTCTGGCACGATTTAGGATTGGCAGGGCGCGGCAGTCACAGTGGTCTGCGGCACCGAAGTCCCAGGAATGGTGGTCTGGCACGAGTCAGGATCGTCAGGACGCAACAGGAACGCTGATTCGCGGCGTTGAAGTCCTAGGAATGGTGCTTTGGCGTGGTTTGAGATTTTCAGATGGTTGTCTTCCAACGGCGCACTTCCCGCAGAGAAAATATGTGTTGTAGGGGCCCGTGCAGTGCAGTGGGAACTTGGAGGGAGGGTTTATTGCAACATCGTTGATTAGTTTTGGGCGTACACTTAGGGCGGCAGCCTGGAGCGTCAACACGGGTCCTCCTGCTCCTTCTCTTCATAATGTCCTTTCCCTCCTCGCCCTCCTGCTACATAGTCCGTCTCCGCCTCGTCCTTCTTCCTCCTTCTCCTTCTGCTCCTCCTCATTCTCCTCCTCCGCACCCTCAGTATCACATCTCCCAGGGGCCCACGAACGTGACGACGGCTTCGCATTTCGCAGCCCCCAGCGGAACTCGGGCGGCCCGGGCCGTGTGCCCTCTCCAGCGCGGCCCAGGCCGCCCGAGTTCCGCCAGGGGCTGCGAACTGCGAAACCGTGGAGGAGGAGGAGGAGGAGGAGGAGGAGGAGGAGGAGGCGGAGGAGGAGGAGGAGGAGGAGGAGGACCAGTGGGTTCGCGCAGCGCTCGACTCGTCCCCGACCGGCCCGCTGCGCGAGCTGCGCGCGCGCGCCCGTGCTTGCTCGCGCCGCGGGCGGCCGCGGGCCGTCGGACCTCCCGCGGTGCCCCACGTCGCCCCCTCTCCACCGCCCCCCCTCCACCTTGCCCAACCACCTCGCCCTCCCACCTCGCCCTCCTCCCTCCTCCTCCTCCTCCTCCTCCTCCTCCTCCTCCTCCTCCTCCTCCTCCTCCTCCTTTCCTCCTCCTCCTCCTCCTCCTCCTCCTCCTTCTCCTTCTCCGCCTCCTACTCCTCGTCCTCGCCCTCCCACCTCGCCCTCCTTCAGGCGATAGAGTCTCCCGATGCCGCCCTCCCCCCCTCTAGTCAGTGGACTATTGTTAAATTGTTGGTAGTGAACTTTTGTGCTGCCAATGATCATAGCAAATCGGGCAGATTATGGGTTCAACGTCTTGTTTTTAACATCGTTGCATCCGCAGCCGCTTTGGCTCCAGCGGCGCGTTTTCGGAGCGCACCATGACGTGGGCGCATTCCAGCCGTGGACCGACGACCGAGAAGACGACAACGACGACGACGACGACCGACCGACCGACCGACCGACGACCGACGACCGGATCGAACGACCGACCGACCGACCGAAACAACAACGACCGACAAGGACCGATCGATTGACTGACCGACCGAGGCGATCACCGATGACGACCGACGGACCGACCGACCGACGAACCGAGACGGGGACGACCGACGACGACGACCGACGGACCGACTGACAGACGGACGAGCGCGCAGACTGACCTAGTTTGGGAGCGAGGCGTGAATACAGGGCCAGTACCCCCACCCCTGGACCGTCAGTTCTCCCTCCACCCGACTTATTTTTAGTTTCCAAGCCCGAAGTCGGATGAGGCTCCCGCCTTAATTTTTGCAAGGGAAAGTGTTCCAACCGCCTATAACGACAAGGAGGGGTGGCTCCAGCCTTACATTTTCATAATGGACAGTATTGCAGCCGCCCACGGGTGAGGTTCCAGCCCTCCATTTTCACAAGGGAAAGCGTTCCAGCCGCTTATGCTGACAAGACGGGGTGGTTCCAGCCTTCAGTTTTTGCAAGGGAAGTGTTCCAGCCGCCCACGGTGTCGGTTCCAGCTTTTATGTTTGCCCAGTGCGAGTGTGTGTGTGTGTGTGTGTCAGCCGCCGATGGCGTGGGCTCCAGCTCAACGAGAGCGTTCCAGCCGCCCACGGCGTGGGTTCAGCTACTCGTTTCTATTCAGCGCGAGCGTTCCAGCCGCACGCGGCGTGGGCTCCAGCCATGCGCTTTTACTAAGCGCGAGTGGTCCGGCCGCGCACGGCGTCGGTTCCAGCCACGCATTCTCACCCAGAGCGAGCATTCCAGCCGCCCACGGGAAGTTCTCATTACCAAGGTAGTCCACTGACTGTAGGGCCGGTCGGCCTTTGGGGGTCATCACACGAAGAGCCTAGCGAATGTTCTCGCTCGCTGGTTGGCACCTCCTCCTAGTACTCCTCCTCCTCCTCCTCCTCCTCCTCCTCCTCCTCCTTATGATTCTTCCGGCGCGAGCCCGGCCTTGAGGCCTTCGCGACGTGTTCGTGTCTCTGGACTCGGACGGCGACGGGCTGCTCGCCTACTCCGAGCTGCGGAGGGGCCTGCAGCAGGCGGGTATCCGCGTGGCGGGGCCCGACCTGGAGGAGGCCGGCGGCTGGGCGGGGGGAAGGAGGGGAAGTGGGGGGGAGGGGGGAGGGGGAGGGGGAGGAGGAGAAGGAACCAGGAGAGCGAGGAGGAGCGAGGAGGAGGGAGGAGCGACGAGCGAGGATGAGGTGGAGGAGGGCAAGGACCAGTTTTTAACCCAACACGCATCAACTATGTTGCAATTGCCCCTACCTCCAAGTTCTCTCTCCATGGGTCCCTAGTAGAATCTGTTTTCATAGCGGAGAATCTCCTGTCGGAAGACAGCCGTCTGAGAGTCCCCAATGTGCCGAAACGTCTTTCTTTGGATTTCAACGCCGCGAGTCAACGTGACTGTTGCGCCCGGACAATCCTGAATCGTGCCAAAGCAGCATACTCGGGATTTCAACATTGCGAATCAACGTGCCTGTAGCGTCCTGAGAACCCTGAGCAAGTTATTTAGACTTCTACCCTTCGACTTCTTGATTTTATTACGAACGCTTAGAACATTTCAAAACGAAGATCCGCGGCGCTAAAGTGAGAATTACATGTTGAAAATAGACCGCCTTCCATCCTTGAAGCTGCTGCTGACTTGTAAGACGAATGTGCGCGGCGCTAATGCGAAAGCTACATTTTGAAAACTAGTCGTCCTCCGTCTTCTAAACGGATGCGAATGTTCAATGCGAGTGCGCGCTGCGCTGAGATGAGAGCCACATTTTGAAAGCGGGCCGCCCTCCGTCCTTGAAGCTGCTGCATAGCGAGCGCGCGCGGCGCTAAGGCAAAAACCACACTTTGAAAGCAGGCCGCCCTCTATTCTTGAAGCTGCTGAAATCTTCAAGCCAAGGAGCACAAATGGCGAGGAAGTTTGAGCGAAACGCCCGTAACCCCAAGGCCCATCAACGATATTGCAATACACCCTCCCTCCAAGCTCCCTCCCCATAGGCCCCTAGAAGGATTCATTTTCACTGAGGGACGTGCCCCGATGGAAGACAACTGTTAGACAATCCACAATGTTGCCAGAACGCCATGCTTGGGACTTCGGCACCGCAAATCACCGTTTATGTTGCGTCTTCGCGATCCTGAATCGTGCCTGAACACCATTCCTGGGACTCGAACACTGCTAATCGACGTGACTGTTGCGCCCTGACATTCCGACATCGCGCCGAAGCATCACCTCTGGGACGTGAGCCATGAGAATCCTTGAAACTGCTGCAAACACTTGAGACGAATGTGCGCGGCGATGATGCGACAACCATATTTTTGATGCGAGCCGCCCTCCATCCGTGACGCTCTTGCAAGCCTTTGAAGACGAATGTGCGTGGTGCTATCGCGAGAGCCACATGTTGAATACGAACCGCCCTCCATCCGTGAAGCTCTTCTAAACTTTGAAGACGAATGTGCGCAGCGCTAAGACGACAACTACATTTTGAAAACGGGCCGCCCTCCATCCACGAAGTTGTTGCAAATTCTTAAGACGGGTGTGCGCGACGCTGAGGCGAAGGCCACATTTTGAAAACGACCCGCCCTCCATCCGTGAAGCTGTTGCAACATGTAAGCTTCAGGGTCATAAATGGTGAGGAAGTCTCGGGCGAAACGTTCGACCCGCCCTTTCGACCGACCTCGGGGTGCGACAGGGAGGAGGTACTTAGAGCGCGGAGCGAAGAGCGAGCAGGAAGAGTGTGCTACCCGCGGGAAGGCAATGTCCAAGAGATCAATGAGCCGGGGGCCTGGGCAGGACCTGACCTGCAGGAGGAGCGAGGAAGAGGCAAAGAAGGAAAAGTAAGGAACGGCGGGCGGGCGCCCTGGCGGGGGCGCCCCGGGCGGGCTGGCGTGCCGTTTCGTCGCGTCGCTCTTGGTGCACAGAGGGGGCGAGCGCGCGCGCGCTTCGGATAGATCCCCCGTGTGCTTGCAGGGGGAAGGGGATGATGAGGAGGAGGAGCAGGAGCAGGAATAGGAAATGGATGTTGGCCATGGCGGTGGCGATGCTGCTGTTTCTGCTGATGATATGATGATGACAATGATGATGATGATAGTGGTGATGGTGATGGAGATGGTGATGGTGATGATGATGGTGATGATGCTGATGATGATGATGATGATGATGATGATGATGATGATGATGATGATGGTGGTCGTGGTGACGAGGAAGAAAAGGAGGAGGAAGAGCGAGGAGCGTGGAGAGAAGCGTCAACGATGCTGCAATCTACCCTCACGTCCCATGCCCTGCAGAAGTCCCTACGAGCCTTTTCACTACAAGAAGTGCCCCCTCGAAAGCAGCCTTATAGAAGTTTGCTTTTTCGGGCGAGAGTTCTGTTCCGAAAAGGAATTACCGTGGATCTTTCTGGGGCGCAAGAACGAAGGCGAAAAGGCATGATCTTAGTGTCCAGCAATATCCTCGTTATGAACAGGTACCAACCATTGATGTGTATGTAGTTGCTGCGCAAGTTTGCATGACTGGACAGACTTCGAGCAAGTGTCAAGCGAGAGCTGCACTTTGACAATGGACCACTCTCCATCCGTGCGGCTGTGACATGTGGTTAAGTTAAGTTCCTGGCGTTCCAGCTGGAGGGAACAGTGTGCGATAGCCCCATTGTGAAAGGAACCGCCGTCGACCCTTGCAGTTGTTACAGGCTGTCCGGGCGAGAGCAAGCGGGCGATGGTCAGAGCCGCATTTTGAGAACGACTCCCGCCGCCCATCCTTGAAATTGCTGCACATTTGAGAAAGACGAGTGTGCGCGGCGCTGAGGCGGGCACCTCATTTGGACATGGCCCCCGTCCGTCTGCACATCGGCTGCCACGTCTGTTCTGGCGCCACGGCGCGAGCCCCTCTTATACCAGACGAGCCCCCCTCCGTCCTTGCAGCGGCTGCTTCTCTTTGAGACGAGTGTGCGCGGCGCCGGGACGAGAGCCCCGCTTCGAGATTTCGCCACCCCGCCATCGTTGAAGCTGCTGCGAACGTTGAGGGCGAGTGTCTCCGGCGCTCAGGCGAGAACCGCATTTTGGAAACGACCCACCGTCCATCCATACAATTGCTACAAGATTCAAGCTTCAGGATCACGGGTGGTGGAACAGTCTCGGGCGACATGCCCGGCCTGCCATACCGACGCGTCAGAGGGGGGCGACCTGGACGAGTTATCTGCACGGAACACGGATGAAGGTTCGAATGTGCTGCTCATCTAGTTGTTCGTCTTCCAGCGGCACGTCTCGGGCCCCGAGGGTCGTCAGAGATCGATCCGGGGCAGAAATCTGGCCAGGGTGGATGCTTCAGGGGGCAGTGGCAGGGGAGGACAGGCACAGGTGGGGACACGACGACCCCCCAATTGTCTACTCATTGCCGACAGGGGGCCCGCCAGCCCCACCCCGCGCAGGAACTTGGGGGATTTGCGATCGAGGCCCTGTCGCCGATCTATGGGCGATGTATCGCCGATTGCAGGTCGATGTCTCCCCCCCCAAAGGCGCAGGAATTTGGGGCATTTGCTATCGGAGCCCTATCGCCGATCTATCGGCCATGTATCGCCGATTGCAGGTCGATGTTTCCCATTTGCTGTCAGGGCCCTGTCGCCGATCTATCGGCGATGTATCGCCGATTGCAGGTCGATGTCACTCCCCCATCCCCCATGCGCAGGAATTTGGGGGATTGCGATCGGGGCCCTGTCGCCGATCTATCGGCGATGTATCGCCGATTGCAGGTCGATGTCCCCCCCCCCTACGCCAGGTCCCATCCTCTCATTGCCCTTCAATGCTGGGAGAGGTCCTGGGACCGGCTTCGAGCGGCGGAGAGCGGGAGTTCGCGACCAATCGCGAGCACCGCCCCTGCGGGTCCACCCATCGGCCTCGGGCACCCCTGCTGGGGTCCACTTGGCTGCACACGTCTTTCAGATGCCGAAGCCCCGTGAGGCTGCCGAAGGAGGCGGTTCGAAGGATCGGAGGTTCGAGCTTCGGGGCGCGAGTGCTTTCCAGGACAAACAGTTGACCCCCTGACTCCGCCTCCCCCTCCCCCGGGCCAGAGACTCTGCCCAGGGGACGCGTCAGGCTCCCGGAAACCAGGCCTTTGCAAACCGGGCCTCTGCCAGATCCAGCGGGAGGGAGCGAAGAATGGAGAATATTTCGGCCATCGGCTGCAGATTGTGAAGACCTTACGGCCTGTGCCAGTGACCCTAAAGGACGACAGCGACAACGACGACGACGGCGACGACGATGACAGATGCTTCGGCCATCGGCTTCAGATTTCTTGGGTGCGCCAATTCCCTAGTTGACCAAATGGTCCCCGCTCGCGGGGCTCCAAGCGCGGCGCCTATAGCGCGAGGCTAGGGGCACATGGTGCGGCGCGAAGCACCCCGTCTTTCATCGTTCGCCCCGCGCGAGACCGTGGACGGCATGATCAATTTCTTCTTCTCCTCCTCCTCCTCCTCCTCCTCCTCCTCCTCCTCCCTCCTCCTCCTCCTCCCCTCCCCTCCTCCTCCTCCCTCCTCCTCCTCCTCCTCCTCCTCCTCCTCCTCCCTCCTCCTCTCCTCCTCCTCCTCCTCCTCCTCCTCCTCCTCCTCCTCCTCCTCACTCCTCACTCCTCACTCCTCACTCCTCACTCCTCCCTCCTCTCTCCCTCTTCCCGCGCGAGATCGTGGACGGCATCGACGTCGACGGGAGCGGCGAGATCAACTACACCGAGTTCCTGGCCGCGACCCTGGGCCACCAGCAGTACGCGCGGGACCCTCTCGGGGCCGCGGCCCGGAGGCTTTTCGGAAGCCTTCCAGGGCATTCGCAGGCCTTCGGAGGAGGAGGAGGAGGGTGGAGGGTGGAGGGAGGAGGAAGGAGGGAGGAGGGAGGAGGGAGGAGGGAGGAGGGAGGAGGGAGGAGGGAGGAGGGTACGGAGGAATCTGTCGCTCAGGAGGCGGGCACCGGGAGTCCAGAGGGGATCCATGTCTCCCGCACGAACTTATACAAAATCCTCGGACTCACCTCCGCAACGGGGTCAGAGGGGATGGGAAGAAGGAGACGGGGGGAGCGGAAAGCAAGGAGATCACGAGCATCGCGCCTCACGGTGCCGTCCACCCTGGGGGCGGCAGCGGCGGGAGCACACCATGGCCCGCGCTGGGCGGCTGCACGCCGTCGTTCCACGGGGCAGTCCATGGGAGGATCTTGTTGAGCGCCGCCTCCTTCGCAGGGCCCCCTCCCGCGATGTGGACGGCGCCACCCCTCTTCCAGAAAATGTGGATGGATCCTCGCTTCGCGGACTTCGGGCCCAGCTGCAGCAACAGGCCGTACGGAGACTTCCCCTCGACCGCCGCGTTCCTGGGGAGGTGGTCCCAAGTAGCCCCTGGGCCCATGACTGGGCTTGCCCCCGCCGTGAAGGCCCAGTAGAGGACGTCGCGGTCCGTCGGGAGCTTGCCCCCAGCGAGAGGGATCAGCCACCGGTTGTACCTCTTCCTTGAGTCGATGTTGGTGGGGCTCGAGGCAGGCGGACGCAGATCGAACTCTGGGAAGAACTCGTTGGCGCCGGGCTGCGGGGCGACCCTGGACGGCGGGACCAGCGGGGTTTGCGGGGCTCCCAGCACAGGGGTCTGGCGCGGGCCTGCTGAGCCCTGAGTCCGAACCGGAGCTGAACCGCCAGGGGTGGAACCCGTTGCGCTGACCGCAGTCAGCTGTACGCGCCACTCCTCCCAGCACTGGTGGCAGTAGGCCTTCGTTGCTTGTTCCCCCTCTCCGCGCACAAGGGGGCCCACTCCTGACGCGCACCCCGCGCAGCACGACTGGGACTCCACCAGCGAAGGAGCCTGTGGCTGCTGCGGGGGGGCTGCTGCTGCTGCTGCTGCTGCTGCTGCTGCTGCTGCTGCTGCTGCTGCTGCTGCACTGGCGAGGGGAGCGCAGCCCCAGTGCCATGGGGGGACGGTGCGTTCTGCGCGCGGTGCTTCTTCCACGGCGCCCCGACCATGTCCTCACTGGAGAGCCTGCCGCCTGGGCACACATGTGCCACTGGTGCCACTGCTGCCAGCACCCTCCGCAGTAGAACTTCTCGGCATGGTCGCCCTGGCCGGGGGGGCAAGGGGAGCCCCCGTGGCCCCACAACCGTGGCACTGTTGATTCACTGTGGATGCAGCCACCCCCGCTGGTGTCTCGCCCACGACGGGGCAGGGATGCCCTGGCGCCTGCTCTGGAGCCCCCTTCGCGACTGCCACCACAAGGGCTGCATGGACTGGAACTTGACCCGGCGGCGGTCCCCCCGAGGCCTCGGCTGCAATCCACTGCTGCTGCTGCTGGTTTGAGTCACGAGCTTCCATTGTTCCTTGACCGCATGGTTGTACAACGTCCTCACGACGGGCCCTCTGGGGTTCTGCTTCTGGTCTGTGTTGGCAGCCGCACGTAGGGACAGGCGCAGGGCGTTGCGGTGCTGCATCCAGTAGTCGAAAACTGCCTGGGGAGGAAAGTGCGCTGTCTTTCCCTCTGGCTGCATGGCGCTGGTGCAGGTGCGGTCTGGATGGGTGAGAGGATCAGGATTGCAGCGTTGCTTGAGCCTGGTGGCTATGGAAGCGGGGGTGGGCTGGGGGCGGGGGGGGAGAAAAGCCCAAGCTTTCCTCAGCGGCCGTCTTGGCATACCCGCCCGACATGAGTCACCAGAGCAAGAGGACGCCGGAGGCATTCTGGGGGCAGGTGTGGAAGCAGACCGCGGGGACGGCTCAGGATGATGATGATGATGATGATGATGATGATGATGATGATGATGATGATGATGATGATGATGATGATGATGATGATGATGATGATGATGATGAGATGATGATGATGATGATGATGATGATGATGATGATGATGATGATGATGATGATGATGATGATGATGATGATGATGATGATGATGATGATGATGTGTTGTGGTGGTGGTGTGGTGGATGATGTGATGATGATGATGATGATGATGATGATGGATGATGATGATGGAGATGAAGAGGAGAGGAGGAGGAGGAGAGGAGGAGGAGGAGGAGGAGGAGGAGGAGGAGGAGGAGGAGGAGGAGGAGGAGGGAGGAGGAATACGTATGAACAGGAGGAGCAGGAAGAGGAGGAGGAGGAGCAGGGCGCGATGCGCAAAGTCAGGTGGCCTGGAGGACGGGCACGCCGAGGAGAGCAGGCAGCCCGCAGCCTCACCAGGAAGACCCCGCGGGGCCCAAAGGGGAGCCCCACCGTCCCCCGAAGCAGCCCCGAGAGGACCTCGAGAGCGCCCCGAGAGGGACCACCAACACCCCAGACAGTCCCACGAGAGCTGTTCGAGTCCAGGTCTCCCGCGGGGGCGCGTAGATCACCACGCTTCGCGCATCGAGGCCGAAGCCAGAGAGCGAGCTGCCCTACTCGAGGGTGGCCTCGCGAGGGCACGAAGATGACCGCGAATCGCGGGGCACGACGCGAAGTTAGGCTACCTGAAGAGCGGCCCAGGAGGGGACAAAGCGGGGACCCGCCTGAGGCTTCCTCATTCGTTCGTCCCCCCATCCTTCCTCTTCCACCCTCCATCCTTCCACTCTGCCCCGCCTTCTCTCCCTGTCCCCTTGTTCCTCGGCACCGTTCACCCGAGATGGCAACCATTGCTTTGTCCGCTGCTGATTGATGGGCATCCCCTGGAACAGTGTCCCAGTGGACGGTCGAGGACGGTATAGGACGGTGCCGAGGAAGAGGCAGCTGTCCAAATCAATAACCGACTACCCCAGATAAAAATGTACCCCCCTTTCCCCCCCTCTATTTTTCTATCCCGGTTCAATCGGATTTAATTGTGGAGAGGGACGCGGAGGCCGAACTTGCTAATCCACGGGGAAAGTTGCGAATCGAAGTTGGTATCTTCCCATGCTGACTGGCAACAGCATCAAAAACGCTGAGCATGACCATGGTGGTCTCACCATATCAGCTTCCGCAATCCGGATCACCATCATCATCAGCATCAGCAGCAGCAGCATCAGCATCATCAGCATCATCATCATCATCATCAGCATCATCATCATCGTCGTCATCGTCATCGTCATCGTCATCGTTATCGTTATCGTTATCGTTGTCGTTATCGTTATCATCATCATACGTATAACTAACATCGCCTTCCCCAGGAAAATCGTTGCTCATCTCCGCCAGACCCCCCAACTTATTATCCATGAGTGATTATTATCCGGGGTAGTCAGTTAGCTGCTTGTTTCCGTGCCCCCGTTTTCGAAACATTAGTGCTTGATGTATTTTCAGACGAACGATTTGAAATTATTGCGCACGTGTTCACATTCCTCCAACCTTGATCAACCTTGAATGGCCAATGCTCTCTATCAAGCGTTATTTCCTCAGGCGGTGGCGATACGGACAAGCTCATCAGAGTATCGGTCTTTGCGATTGGCCATTTTGTGGCACAGGTACGGTGTATGCGCTCTCTGCTTCGCATGCTCGTGTCTGCATGAAGTCATACTCGGGAATCCCGAATTCTTAGGCTCGGATGTGGCACAGCTCACATCCACCGTTGAAGTCCGAAGGAGGACCATGGAGAGGTACCGTAGCGCCACTTCGTGCCCGATGGCTCCCCCCCCCTCTGACTTTGGGAAGAGTCGCAGGCCCTGAAGTGTGAGGGTGTACAGCTCTGGTGGGCCGGTGCAAACCTGATCTCTCTGTTGAAACGAAAGAGACAAGGAGGAGGAGGAGGAGGAGGAGGAGGAGGGGGAGGAGGAGGAGGAGAAGGAGGAGGAGGAGGACGAGGAGGAGGTGGGGACATCCTCCTTCCGTTCCCCCTTCGCCCATCCGCTTCTCTCTCCCTCTCTCTCTCTCCGCCCACTTCCCCCCCCAATCCTCTCCTTCCTCCGTCCTCCCCAGTTCCCCTTCCCCCCATCCGCCCCTCCCCCTCCCCCGCCCTCCCCTTTCCCCACCCGTTGATCCTCCCCTTCTGTTCCCCCCTGTGTCTCCCTCTCCGCCTTCCCTCCCAGTTCCTTCCCCCCGCCCCCCCTCCCCCGTCTCGTCTCCCCCCTTGCCCCCCCTCGGGTTTTTTGCGCTGCATTTTTCAGGGCGGGCCCGCTCCTGGCGGCCAGGGGGCCCCGGGAGGAGGCCCCTCCTAGCAGAGGCAAGCAGAAGCATGCCCCCCCTCCCCCGAAACCTCTACCCCCTCGATCCTGGATCCTCCTCCTCCTCGTCCTTATCCTCCTCCTTCTCGTCATCAGCATCATCATCAGCAGCATCATCATCATCATCATGATCATCAGCAGCAGCAGCCTCCTCCTCCTCCTCCTCCTGCTGCTGTGACTCCTGCTCCTCCTACTCCTCCTGCTCCTGCTCCTCCTCCTCCTTCTCCCCTCCTCCTCCTCCTCCTCCTCCTCCTCCTCCCCCTCCTCCTCCTCCGCATTCTCCTCCTCATTATCCTCCTCCTCCTCCTCGTCCTCCTTTCGGACGCGTCTGCGTCCTGCCTCGCCGTTGTCTGGCAGGAGGACGTCTGCTGGCGCGCCTTCAACCTGTTCGACCTGGACAGGGATGGGCAGATCACCTCCAAGGAGCTCAAGACCACTTCCATGACATGATCAGCTCTCGTTATCCCAGACCCTCTGCGTCACGAACATAATCAGGAGGGCTACGCTGGCTACGGTTTCGGCGTCCAGGGGCCGCTCTTGGGCCCCAGGACCGTCAACGACTGTCCGGCATGAAACACGGCGCCCGGGATGGAGACGAGAGGTCCAAGGGCCAATGCTCCCCAAAAAGATGGCTTCCGATGTTTGGGTGCTCTGTCTCTGGCTCCTCCTCTTCCGTATCCCCCGAGGAGCTGAAGAATTTCTTGGAGAAGACGAGCACGATGAGCGCCGCAGAGCTAGTGCGGAAGGCGGACACGAACGGCGACGGCACCATCGACTTCCCTGAGTTCATGGCGATGATGCAGGATTAGGGGTATATCCCCGCCTCCCCCTTTTCCTCGCCCGTCCCCCGCGAGGGAGGCATGGGGAGGGGAGAGGGAGCCGGATGAGTGAGCGAAGAGCGGGGGGGGAAGAGGGGGGGGGGGAAGGAGGAGGAGGAGGAGGAGGAGGAGGCGGAGGAGGAGGAGGAGGAGGAGGCGGAGGAGGAGGAGGAGGAGGCGGGGCAGGAGGAGGAGGAGGAGGAGAAGGAGGAGGAGGAGGAGGAGGAGGAGGAGGAGGAGCAGCATTATGCGGAGGAGTACTGTGGATTACCGTGGTCCACGTCAAAAAGGCCCCAAACAGTAGGCGGCCAGGAAGTGCCATATCCCTCCTCTCACTGCTGGTGCCTTGCACCAGCTATTTCTCGTTCGCAATCCTCGCAATGCTGTTGACAAATTGGCTACCTCCCTCCCACATGTGAGGGCTGTCCGCGAATGCGCTAAATGGCAGGCCTGCTGTGCACACCTGCGCCCGTCTCGCACGATCTGATCACATCGCTGTAGCTGGTGACTGATGACCCTCTCCTGCGAACCCCCGTGAGTCACAAGAGGACATGCCGCCGCGGCCGATAGCTGATGAGGTCAGCTGTTCTCGCAGGCCTGCAGTGAATCTCTACACCCATGCGACTCTGCACGAGCTGACCTAGACACTTTGGCCGATGAGGGTTGGCTCTGTTATGCATGCCCGTGCCTTCCCGTGTGCGCCACTGCATACCTGCGCACTCGAGCCGGTCTCTGCGCTGAGGCGGCCGGCCCTCTCCCGTGCGCCCGCTTCGGTCGGCGGCGGCCTTTGCTTCTGCGTCCTGCCCTCTCGCATGCACTGATCCCTGTATTGCAGCTGATGCCCCTCGCCTGCGAAGCCCCCCTCTTGGCGGCGGCAGCCCGTGCTGTCACATCCAGTTTTGTCGCACGAGCCGGTTCCAGCGGTGTAGTTGTGACTGCCTCCACCGAGCGCCCCTCGGAAGCCGCGGTGCCCGTCGCCACTTTCCGCCTTCTCGCACGAGCTGGCTGCAGCGCTGTAGCTGATTGCCTGTTTCCCACGAGCCCCCATTTCAGGATCCGCCGCACCTGCTACCACTGCCTGCTGTCTCACATGAGCTGATTCACGCACTGCAGCGGATGATCCGCACCCACGCGCACCTGGTTGGCCGCAATTATCCGCCTTCCCGTTGCGTGTCTTCTCGCATGAGACGACCCCTGCGTTCCAGCTGATTATCATCGCGCGAGTGCCCTTCTGTAAGCCGTTGCCACTTCCAGCCTTCTCGCACGAGCTCATCGAAGCGCGGGAACTGATGGCCTTCTCTCACGAGCCCTCGTTTTTGCAGCAACAGTACGGACCTGCCGCCACCGCGTGCCTTCTAGCATGACTTGGTCTTCGCAGTGCAGTTGACGGTCCCCGCCTACGAGCACCTGGCCGGCAGCGACTGTCCGCGCTGCCGCTGCTTGCCCAGATCTCTGCGTTGTAGCTGAGATGATTGCTACCTGTTGCAGCTGCAGCTGCTGCTGCTGCTGCTGCTGCTGCTGCTGCTGCTGCTGCTGCTGCGTGTCGTTCGCGCACGCCGTGGTCCGAGCGTTGTGGCTGACAACGGTTGGCTCCCTATCGAAGGACACCCGCTTACCGCCGCTATCCATCTTTTTGCACTCAGCCGAGCAAGCGGTTGCAGCGTTGCGCATGCTCCGCTGCATACTTTCTCGCGGAAGTCTCTGAGCCCCTCAGGCGGATTTCCACCGCGAAAGAGATGTCATTTCTTGAGGTTAAGTGCACGCGCGGGAGGTGGTGGAGCTTTCTTGATGGCTGGAGGGGGCGACGAGAGGCAAGCGGACGGGTGCGGCGAGAACCATCACGGGGTTGCACATGTTGTTGTGACTTAGTCCCAGCCTTTAGCCTATCACGTTGGGCTCCAGCTTGTTGATGGCTCCTGGAGGTACTGTCATTCCTAAGCCTGCCGTCCAGAACTTGGCCCCCCGCTACCCGAGAGACGTGGCCGAGGATGTGGAGGAGAAAAGGGGGGCGCGGGGGGGAGGGGGAGAAGGAGGAGGAGGAGGAGGAGGAGGAGGAGGAGGATGAGGAGGAGGAGGAGGAGGGGAGGGGGAGGGGGAGGGGGAGGGGGAGGGGGGAGGGGGAGGAGGAGGGAGACAAGCTAGGTGCGCTCGCGTCATATCTGACGTCCTACCCCTCCCTCCCATCCCTTACCATGGCGCTGATTTTCTCTATCCGCGGACGCGTGTCGTAGCGGACCTGTGGCTCCGCGCGCGCGTGCGTAGTGGGTGGTGGTGCGCGTGCGTGCGTGCGTGCGTGTGTGCGTGGTGTCGTGGTGGTGCTGGTGCTGGTGCTGGTGCTGGTGCTGGTGCTGGTGCTGGTGCTGGTGCTGGTGCTGGTGCTGGTGCTGGTGCTGGTGCTGGTGCTGGTGCTGGTGCTGGTGCTGGTGCTGGTGCTGGTGCTGGTGCTGGTGCTGGTGCTGGTGTTGGTGGTGGTGGTGGTGGTGGTGGTGGTGGTGGTGGTGGTGGTGGTGGTGGTGGTGGTGGTGGTGCGGCGCGGTGGTGGCGGGCGGATGGCGCGCGAGAAAGAGGCCCGCGCTGGGGCGAGAACGCCATCCTGAACGACGGAGGCCAAACACCGATCCGAAAATGAGGCCCACGCTGCAGCGGGAGCACGATTCGGAACGATTCGGGAGCAGAAATGAGGCCAGCGCCTCAACGAGAGCAGCATTTTGGGAAAAAATGACGAGGCCGGCGCCTCAGCGAGAGCAGCATTT